ACAGGGGATGAAGGCAGCAAACCACATTTCCATGTATGTACCTATACAACAATCCTGCATACTCTGCACATGCATCCCAGAACCTAAAGTGCAATAAAATAAAATAGTGGTCAAAGCACACAAATAGATATTTTTCAAAAAAAATGTATGTTCAAACGATGAAAAAGCTTATGAACAAAAAAATGCTCATAACTAATTATCAGATAAATCCAAATTAAAACCACAAGGATATTGCATCTTATTGCAGTCAGAAGGGCTGATATTAAAAGGACAGAAAAATGACAAATGATGGCAACAATACACAAAAGAGGTCTGGGCAAACACTGCTGATAGAAATGGAAATTGATACAATCTCTAAGAATAAAACTAGGAAGATTTCTCAAAGAACTAAACAATAGCGCTATCATTTGATCCAACAATGTCACTGTATCTACTATCCCACACAAAAAGCAATTATTGTATCAAAGGGTAAATTCACTTACTTACATGTATATCACAGCACTGCTCATAATAGTAAAGATATAGAATCAAGCTAAGATTCCACCAAGTCATCACTGGCAAAAAAAAAAAAATCTTATAATATACACTAAATAAAATAACTTAAATCATAAAAAATAATAAAATCATATATTTGCAAAACATTGGGAGAACTGTAAGCCATTATGTTAAAGAAAATAACACACAGGTAAATATTTCAAGTTCTAAATTACAAATAAAAGTGAAACAATGTGTATGAGTAGATTATGCACTGATAGACACTGGACTATCAGAAAGGTTGCAGGTACAGAGGGGTGGAAGACAAGAAATTACTTAATAGATGCAATATCCATTATTTTAGTGGTTGATGGGGATCTTAAAAGATCTGACTTCATCACTATGCAATCTATGCAAGTAAAAAATTATACTTGTACTATATAAATGAATACAATTTATATTTCACAAAGACAAAAGCCACGTAGAAAATAAAATGCATTAAGTTCTTATTTTAGTCATTGTTGTAAACATAAATTGATCAAAATGGGTCATTAAAAATCCTGAAAGAATAGATAAATCTATATTATCCTATAATTGGCCAATAGGATCTTCCTTACTGATGCACAGTTAAGATCAATTTATAAAGGCAAGGTAATTGAACAGATAAAGAGTTTTGCAGATGTTGAGCTGGCTAAACAAAAAACTGAAGTTTTACTATTACTCAGAGAAGCCTCCCCAAGCATTTGGGTGTTAAGAGGCTTCAAAAGTAGTTTGGGGGATGTAATGGGGTAGACAGTAGGTGTTTGCAGGAAATTAGTTAGGGATGCAATCTGGAAGTATAGAAAATGGTCCTGTGCACTGAGTCACTTCTAGGTGGGGCCACAGGAGTCGTTGATAGTTCTAGGTGGAGCTCCTAGTCATGATCCGTGAAAGAAAACCTGAACAGATATCTCAAAAAGCCAGTCCTCACTTGTACATTAGTGATGTTACCAGCAGGAGTAATTGGGAAAGTTGCATATCTTATGGCTTCTGGAATAATGGCTGGAAATTTGCATGTCTACACCTTACCAGAATTCAGCCTCCCCTATCTTCCTAGTTTTGGGTGTCTCTTATTAGCTTTAGATGGGCAGTTGACTTTGTGGAAATTGCTGCCATCATTTAAACTATACATCAAATATTTCCCAGCATTAGTTTGGCTTAAGCCCAGGAATAATTAAGAGCTTAAGAATAATTAAGAATTTGAAGTCTAAAGGCAGGATGAGTGTTGATGATATTATATCCTCTTCATTGTTATAATTTTCCATCAGTATAATTTAAGATCGTTTCAATATTACTGAAGGACGAATGGTTTTGTCTGAGTCCTGCTGCTTGTTGCACAGAAAGTCAATCACTGAGATAACAAGTACAGGTATTTCCAAGGAAGAGGCTTTATTCATGTACTGCAGCTGAGGAAATGAAAGATGAATCTCAAATTCATCTCCCTAACTAAAACTAGAGGTTTACATAGCCAAGAAAAAAATGTAAATGTGTAAGGAAATAGAAACCAGAAAGGCAGGGAAACAATCATAATGAATGAGGGGTCTGTTATCTCATTGCCAGGTTGTGATATTCTGGTGAGTTTCAGTTTCTTGCTACTTTTTGAACAAGTCCTGAAGATCTTTCCTGAAGACGGAACTCAGACAAAGCAAATATAAGGTTCAGCCTTTAAGACCAAAGGGGTAAATTTTTGTTTATCCAATAAAAAAAAAAACACCTATGAGGCTACTGGGTCAGTTTTTAATCAGGCTATTTCCCCTCCAGGCAACTCATTTTAGATTCAAGTACACAAATGCAAAGTGACAAACTAAGATACTCTATTTAAATAGTTACGAAAAGACAGCCGGATTGGTTATTAACAAAAATTTAAAAAAGTAAAATATTAGAGAAAAAATAAATGATATAGAAAATAGTGAAACAATATAATCAACAAAACCAAATTTATTATTTGAAAAGATTTACAAGAGTAGCAAACCTTTAGCTACTGTGAGGACAAATACAAATTAAAAATAATAGAATAAATAATTCCCCCAGCGGCTCTCCCTTTTCTCAGAACATTTGCTTTAGAAAATTGTAATTGCTTTTCCTTTCTTTAAAAGGTATGTAAATCTTTTCGAAAACTAGATAAGGCTTTTGTCAGCTTTACGACTGTATTAGTCTGTTCTCATGTTGCTATAAATATACTACCTCAGATTAAGTAATTTACAAAGAAAGGGGTTTTAATTGACTCCTGGTTTTGCATGGCTGAGGAGGACTCGGGAAATTTACAATTACGGTGTAAGATGCAGGGGAGGCAAAGCACATACTACATGGTGGCAGGAAAGAAGCAAAAGAAGAAATCCAAACACTTTTAAACCATCATCTCTCATGAGTACTACCTCAATATCATGAGAACAGCATAGGAGAAACTGCCCCCATGACCCTATCACCTTCGATCTGGTCCCTCTCTCAAAACATGGGGATTACAATAGGAGATGGTATTTCGGTGGGAACAGAGACCCAAAGTATATCTCTTAATTCCTCCCAGTTCTCATGTCTTATTCATATTTGAAAACCAGTAATGCCTTCCCACGGTCACCCAAAGTCTTAACTCATTTTGACATTAATTCAGAAGTCCAAGTCTAAAGTATCATCTGAGAAAGGGAAAATTCCTTTCGCCTATGAGCCTTGAAAATTAAAAGCAAGTTAGTTACTTTCAAAATACAATAGTAATACAGGCGTTGGGTAAATGTTACCATTTCAAACAACAGAACTTGGCCAAGCAGAGGCCACAAGCCTCATGCAAGTATGAAAAGTGGCCAGTCATTAAATCATAAAGCTCCAAAACCTCATTTGACTCTATGTCTTACATTCAGGGCATACTGAGGATGCCAGGGGTAAGGTCCCACAGACTTGGCTAACTCTGCCCCTGGAGCTTTGTAGTAAACACCCCCTGTGGCTACTTTCATAGACTGGTTTTCAGTGACTGATAATTTGGGTACTATGACTTATCTTGCAAAAGGAAAGAAAAAAAAAAAAAAAGGATTAGTAGGCTACTATACTATCTATAGTATGGCCACGTATATGCCCAACAAGTTAGATAATTTAGAATAAATGAACAAATTCCTGATACATACAAACTACCAAAACTGACTCAGGAATAAACACATTATAAATTAATAATCAAAACTAAAGTCTACAACCATTTAAAGAATTTACCTCAATACTCAAATTTGTGCAAAAACACAGGGAAAAAGGAACACTATGTAATTAATTCTATGAAGCCAGGATTTTATTTATCCTAAAGCCAGTCTTCACAAGAAACTACAAGCCAATATATCTTAACACAGATGCTAACATTCTAAACATAATGGTAGCACAACAAATACAGTTAACTAAATGATGGAATACCATAACCCAATGGAATTTATCTTGAAATAATTTGACCACTACAGCCAGTCTATTTGTGACATTTGGTTAAGTCATGATACACAGCAAGATTCAGAGGCTTAGGCAACAGATGTGGTGTCTGTACTGATATGGTTTATGGTGAGATAGAGAAGACAGAGAAAAAAGTAGGAGGGGTTCAGTGGCTCACGCCTATAAGCCCAGCACTTTGGGAGGCCCAGGCGGATCACGAGGTCAGGAGTTCGAGACCAGCCTGGCCAACACGGTGAAAACCCATTTTGTTTACTAAATACACAAAAATTAGCAGGGCGTAGTGACCAGCGTCTGTAATCCCAGTTACTCGGGAAGCTGAGGCAGGAGAATCGCTTGAAACCAAAAGAAGGATGTTGCAGTGAGCCGAGATCTGGCCACTGCACTGCAGCCTGGGGAAAAAGAGCAAAACTCAGTCTCAAGAAAAAAAAAAAAGATGGAGGAAAGTAATAATCATTCGGAACATAGCGGTCCTTGTCCTTCACCAGTCCCCCAATCTCATTTTATAAGAGGAAGGGCCCGTTTAAAATTTAGGTTAGTGTTGAATGCCACAGTAAGTTGTGAAACTGGAAGACTCTTTTTGTTTGTTTGAGACGGAGTCTTTCGCTGTCACCCATGAGGTAGGGCAGAGGGCGACGGCTCACTGCAATCTCCGCCTCCTGGGTTCAAGCTATTCTCCTGCCTCCGCCTCCTGAGTAGCTGGGACTACAGGCACGCGCCACCATGCCCAGCTAATTTTTTGTATTTTTAGTGGAGACGGGGTTTCACCATGTTGACCAGGATGGTCTGGATCTCTTGACCTCGTGACCCACCCGTCTCGCCGGGGAGATACCATGATCAGGAAGACAGTTTTTTTAACAAAGCAGTAGACCCCACGGCGCTGCTCATTGTGTCCTTGACTCCGCCTTCTCCATGCTGAGTCCGGCCCCGCCCCGCCCCGAGTTTATTCGTGAACCGAACTCTCCGTACCTTGACGTGATCTACTTGGTGTCAGTCATTTGGCCACGCCTCCGACATAGAGAAAAGGGGAAAAGTATCATAATCAGCTCCGTCGCCTTTTGCTGGCGTCACAAAGTGCGCGTCCTAAGTCTGTTAGAGAGCTCAATAGCCGGTCTTTTCTGCGCACCCGTCTAAGACGTCTTAGTTCGGCCTGTTGTGGAGTAGTAACCGCCAAAAAGGACTCGGAAGTGGTCGCACGAGGCCCTCAACGCCACCATGCCCAAGAATAAAGGTAATCCTGCAGGCCTCTGGGACTGTACCTCGGCCTGCTCTGCCATTAATCTCGACTTCTGTTCCATGCCGCAGTGACCGTTCTTCCCTCTGGTACTGGGCGCCGCGCCCCTTCTGTGTTAGGGAAAGCATCTGGGAATACTCAGTTTGGTCACACTGGGGTGGGACAGCCGCCATTTTTGTGAGGCCTTCTTCGGAAGATAGTGGGCTTTTGATACTGATTCACGCCAGACTTACCGCTTATAGGAAGAGACGGTTGAGGGGCCTTACCTGGAAGGCCTGGCCTTCAAGAATAGCTCCTATAAATTTCCTTACTACTTTCCTGAAGCAGTTATTAATTTTAAAAACTATCGGGACAGTTAAAAGTATTGTTAAGGTTATTCCCTTTTTTGTGTTAAACGGTGAAGAAACCTTGAAACATGGTTAGGTTCATCTCTGGCGTTTTACTCTGCGTCAGCTTTTTAAAGACAGTTGATCATTCTTTTGCAGAAGAAGTGTTACATATTTAGGCAAGTTTTCAACTTCCTTATCAAATAAATATTGTGGGAGTAAAGACATAAACGTTACCTTCATTCTGCGGCTAAATTTTCACACCAAGCTTACACTTGCATATAAGTTGTAAGTAAACTATTTTCTCAGATAGTACCGAACAACTTCAGTAGGTATCTTGTTCTCACCTTTATTTCTGTTGATGAGATTCACAGTTCTGTTAAATAAGCTATCAACTCTAAAGATCACAGTATCTCCCTTGCAATGTGTCCAGTAAATCTTTGTTGATGTTACTGTACCTGTATCTGGCACTATTCCTTAAATAGTAAGGCTTGGTTTGTTCTTGTAGGGTAGAACTTTTAAACTGAATGATGCCTAAGAAAATTCTCATTAGGAGGAGTGTCTCCAAAACGCATCTGATTTGTTTAAGTAGGAGGTGTGAATTTTTTGGTCCTAGAAAAGAAGATTAAAAAGAATATTAAACAACTTTAATTGTGATATGTGCATGCCTAGTCTCATTCTCTTAAAAGATTGTGAATTCTGTTACACGATATTACAATAAAAGGAGAATGATAAGGGTTTGGTTAATTATGGTAAATTGAAAACAGTTTTTTTTTTTTAATCGTATCTGAGGCACATAAAGGAAGTATATCTAAGAATTACAGCATAGATTCGTAAAGTCCTCTGCTACCCCTCACCAATTTTTTTTTGAGATAATCCCCATCCTGAATTGAATGTTTTTATTATTATGTAAAATCAGTGTTATCTGCTGGGCTTATTAGTTGAACGATACTTCTGAAGACCCCCTAAATTTTATTAGACTTACTAATGTGGAAATAAAACTTGCTCATTTGGTTTTCTTGGTTTTTGTTTCTTTTTGTTTATCTGAAAATCCAGATGCCTGTTAATATTGTGATGAGGTTTATCCAAGTAAACATGTAAATGAGCATGGGCCATAGATAGAATAACTTTTTCTTTGTACTCATTCAGCTGGTTTTCTTCAGAAATCTTAGAAACCCATCCTTACAACAGGAAAAGGACAGCCTGTGACCTACTCCTGAAGAGATAAAGTGTGTCCACCTTTGAGATTGCTATATGCAATTTAAAAGTTGCCATTCTTTTAGAACTTGAACTAATCATTATTTAGTCATTTGAAAAGCTGCCAAACTTGTGTAAAACTCAGTAAGCAAAGCGGGTATGATCCTTGTCCTTGCATAGCTAAGTTCAGGCAAGATTAATGACTCAAAATACAGAATATGTTTTCCTTTCTAGAAATTTAGTTTTGGTGTGTCCCCAGAATGGATCAGATTGTAGATGAGTCACTTTGTTTTATAGTGACACACAGTACTGTAACTGCCCCAGAGGTATTGGATGCAGTCAAGAATTAGATGTCTGGCTTTTACAGTGATCAAGCGTATATATTTTATTCTATTTGCAGTGTTATCTTTTTTATTCAAAATCTTCCATCGATCCGTTAATATTACTTAATTTGCAGTCTTTAACCCTCCTTTTGGAAACAGTTGCTATTTTGATTAACATTCTGCAATGGGGACAAAATGTTATGGAAAAGTACCCCAATTCCTTGGTAATTCAGTAGAAAATCCTACAAGGAAATACTCTAGATATGTCTAGCAATACGAGAAAATTTAAAAATGGAAAGAAATATGATGGCAGTTGAAATAGTTGATTAAGAGAGTAAGGAAGTGAATTTGTAAACTTTAATTCAGAAATTCTACTTTTGTTCATTTATCTTATGAACATTGTTTGCAGACTAATAATTCAGTGCAGCATTGTGTAATAATAGTGAAACATTGGAAGAAATCAAGATACATCATTAATATACTTTAACAGTTAAAATGTTGGTCCAGGTCTGCAGCTATTGAAATGAAAAGATATTCAGGACTAATTATTAAGTAGAGTTAAAATATACTATAGAAGAAAATGAATGGAGTCCTGTTTTTATTTGGAAAGCATGAACAAAATCTTCACAATAGTTATTTGAGTAATAAAATTTTTCTTTTATACAGTTTGACATAAGATGTATTTTTATCTCTGAAGTATCCAAATAAATGTCCAAATATATACCTGTTAAAAGACTTAAAGAGAACTCTCACAAGTCCTGTTAATTCTGTAATGTTAACTTGTAATGTAATACATTTAAACACATTTGTTATATGTTTAAATGATACATTTTCAATTTTCCTGCAAGTGGTTTCAAAAGCAAACTTCAGAAGTCTTTTGTTTTATAGTTGAATGTGTCTGATATGTAGATTTTTACTGTTAATTTTTTATCTTCTTTTTAAATTAATTAGGTAAAGGAGGTAAAAACAGGCGCAGGGGTAAGAATGAGAATGAATCTGAAAAAAGAGAGTTGGTGTTTAAAGAGGATGGACAAGGTAAGACTTTCTAAGTTAGGCTTCTTTTATTAACATGTTTCGTTGTTGCCATGAATATAATTTTCAATCTTTTTCTTAAAGGAGCCTTAGTCATCATCCTAGGCAGCTGTCCCATGATTCCATTTTTCCTTTTTTCATTTCTCATCATCCACATTTATCCAGAATTTGTTTATTAAATAATAATTTCTAGGATATATTAAGTCTGGATAGAGGATTCATTGGGAGCATTTTTGTAAATACAGCTTCATTGTTTAGTGTGGAGGAACACAATCTAACTGATCCTGTAATCCCTGCCCTTTGGGAAGTGAGGTGTTTAGCTTGCTTAAAGCTGGGAGCAATAGGGCAGAGCCCTGTCTCTACAAAAATAATAATAATAATAATAATAATAATAATAATAATAAAAATGAGGCATGGTAGCACACGACTGGAGTCCCAGGTACTCTGCAGGATTAGGGGAGAGGAGGGCTTGAACCCAGGAGGTTAAGGGTGCAGGGAGCTATGAGGGGATGACTGTATTCAGCCTGGGTGACAGACCAAGACCCTGTCTCAAAACAAACAAAAAGTTTAGAGCAAATTAAGTATAGACTGTGATCAATACATGTTTCATACGTTGGTAGTGAGTAATGTTATACACTATTAGTAGAACATGGGTATTTTTTAGGATAAAA